CCCCGCCCCGCCCCGCCCCGCCCGTGTCCTGCCCGCGGACCTCCTTCCCGTATTCCTCCGAGCCGCGGGACACGCGCTTCCGCCTCGCCTCCTCCAGGTCGACCCCGCGACCCATTCAGGTTTTGCCCTGCGTACCCTCAGGACCAGCCCCATCGCTCTGCCCTGGGCCGCAAATCTCAGTGTCACATCACTGCTCAGCCCCTGGCCCCACATCAGCTCCCAGACCCCAAATCTTAACCCCCCCCATAACTTCAAGAATTCCACACACATCCACACTCCAGGGTCCCCCACGGCTCAATAGCCCCCCGGGGCACCACTGCTAGGACTTCTTTAGGGCCTTCACATTCCACCCCACACTAAAGTTGCTGCATCAGGACCTCTAAAGTAGAGTCAACACACCTACAGAAGCCTCCTGCTCCTTCCCCTCTTGGTTATCTCTCCATACATTATTCCAGCTCAGACCACCCGGTATTCCCATCCTAGCTTTCCCCTGGAGTACAAATCCCATCCTGCTGGGTGACTGTCCAGCACATACAAGCCCAAGCACACACACACACACACACACACTTCACAACCCATGGGTCCCTGAAGGTGCCAGGTCACTGCCCTGTGGGAACCATAAGCCAGAAGCCTCCCCAGTTGTGCCAGGCAAGAATGGGGAGGTACCCCCGGTGCTCCCCTGGGACGAGGGGCGAGGGACAGTCTCCTGCTCTGGTTTTATTCTGCACGCCAGTATTTCTCAAAGTGTGGTCCCTGGGCCAGAATGATCATCAGCACCATTTTGAAACGTGTTAGAAATGAAAATTCTCAGAGCCTCTCCTCCCCACCCTCCCCAACGCGTAACACACACACACAAACCTATGAAATAAAAAGCTCCAGGAACAGCACCCAGAAATCAGTGTTTTAGAAAGCCCATAGGTGCTTCTGATATATACTAACCACCAACTGTATATTGTTTCAACCAATATACAAAATGAAAGGCCACACCTGAACAAGTGAAATCCTGAGAACTGACAGTGATTTTGAAGTCCAACCCCGGGGCCACCAAGCTCAGCAGCAATCACAACTAAGTCCATGCTCCTGCCCTTAAGACACGGGGCCTCAGCTTCACTTCGGTGCCCACAGAACTTCATAGAGGGCTGCTTCCAGTCCCCTGAAACTTTTCCAGATTTTCTCTTTGGTGCTACTAAAGGACCTCCAGGGACTCTCAGCTCCTACTCCCCCACCCCCCCACCATGGGACTGTACCAGCCCCACACTGCTAAGGGAGAAGGTGGCCTAGCCAGTCCCTGACAGCTACTGGTCTGGGCCTTGACCTCCTGACCTCCCCATGCATCTTCCAACTTGACTCTTCCTGCTTTGCCTCAAACCACAGCCCATAAAGCCTCCAGCACTTGATGCATCACAGCAAACTTTTCATCACCAGAAGCTTCCATAAGAGTTTTGGCCCACAACAAACAAAGGATGAGTTTTCACCATTAAAATAAAAGCATCAGGGCTCTCCCTGATGGCTCAACGGTTAAGCACTGCATTATGAAGCTCTCTGAAGCCACTACAGCATGAGTTTGATACCTGGCCAGGAGTGGACCCACATGGCGTGGCAGACCTCTCCTGACCCGCCCGCTGCTCCCCTCAGCAGTGTACTTTGTCAGTCGGCCTGCTCTGCTCCCCACTCTGTCTCTGGTGAATCCTCTCACCGCCCCTGCACCTCTGGCCTGTACCCCAATTCTGTAAGCATAAACAAATAAATCTTAAAAAATAAATAAATAAAAACATCTTCACCAAACGTCTTCATTCCGACATCTTCCCACCACCTCCTTAAATGGTGGGAATTCTAGGAAAAAAGTGGCAGTTTTCTGCCTGCCCCAGAAGTTATTGCCTGAGGGATGCCCCTGCTTCCACACCAGCCAGGTTTGGAGCTGAGAGCTCAGAAGAGGAGTTTCTCCCTGGCTGCCCAGAGCGCTGCCTCCAACCAGCACCTAGGCCACCTTGCAGCCTCCGGTGTGGCCACTAGACACCCAGCACTGGCCAGGCTTGACGGGGGCGGGACCTGGCTTTGCTTTTTTATACTTAGCGCCTAGGTAGACTGGACCAATGAGGTGTGAGCTAAAGGACCAATCATTTGTCAGCTCACGAATTAATTTTAGGCGCCAAATGTGCTGATTGGTCCTAAAATGGTCCAATCAGTGGCTTAGAACTGAAAATGGTCCAATCAGGCAGGTGTCAACCAGAGTGGGGGCTCTGAGGGAGAAGATGCGGCCGAGTGTAGAATGGTTTGCGGCTGGTGGACGCCCCATCTCTCACTCTGCCCCCCACCCCCCACCCCAAGAAGGAAGAACCAAGACGCAGTGTCCAGCTGCTGACGTGTGAAGAGAAGCGGAGCGCTTCACAGCCCGGGCCTGCCCCTGCCTGGCCTGCCCCGACCCCGCCTGGAGGGGGCGCCCAAGGCCCGGCCTGGTGTCGCCAGCCGCCTGCCTGTGGCCCCCTCACGAAGAGCTCTGTCAGGCAGCGCTGTGGGGCAGCTCTGTCGGGCAGCTGTGTCGGGCAGCTCTGTCAGGCGCGTTCGGAGGATTTGGCGTCTGGCGCCATGTCAGGTGCCGCCGCCTCCGTTGCTGTCTGTCCAGCGCCCGCGAGTCTGTCCAGCGTCCGACCTTCTGACTGTGGCTGGGGCTGCGGTGTCGTCATGTGGGGGCCCTGCCCGCAACACCCCCCGGATGCCTACGTTGGATTCCTGCCCCTGCTGCCCCAGGCCGCGCCCTCTCCAGCCCTCCTTGGCAGGAGGGCGCCATCTTGGACGAGCGGCCTTTGGGCTGGGACTCTCGGACGCTGCGGACACCACCGGGGTGAGTGAGCCGGGCCCCACGGCCTTGGCAATGCCTGTTTCCCCCTGTTTGTTAATTGCACCCCGTTGTTCTTGTTCCCTGAGCCCCAGTGTTCTGGCAGTGGTATGCGCAGGTGAGAACCCACAGCGACACATTTTCTGTCCTCAGAGGCTCCAGCCCCCCTGTAGCTCTATTTCACTATTTTCACCTAAATTTTATTTTTTTTAATTATTTTATTTTGCATAGAAGAGCTGGGGTGCGGGGGGCAGGTGAGAGGATTCACC